TCCAGCTTTCATCCTACATTCACTTCGCCGCAAGGTTTCTTTGAGAGAAGCAAGTCTCGACAACCAGAAAGTCCTGCCGCCATATATTTGAACGTGTCGGATAGTATACGTGTCGCACGCATTTGTGAAAATATTTTCGTTGACAAAGAAACATTTACCATTATCTCGTTGCACACGTGATAGATCAAGCATTGTAAATCTAACCCGGCCAGACACATCTCACTCTTGGCAACCGCGCAATGGTTGCTTTGTGCCTCGGTTTGGTGAACCAAACACATATCAGTAGTGGTAGTTGTCATGAGTCGCTCTGATCATGCTCAAAATGAGTGGTTTTGATCCGTCATGAACCCAACTCATCTTATTTGGATGTGTCTGATAAACATTGTTGAACTTGCAATAGCCATGCAGCAAGGAGTTCATCGGAACAAGTCTCGGCTCGATCTAATGCACAACGAAGGAGGCATAGATGTTGCATTTTTACTACACATGCCAGAAAGTCCCCCAATGTCCATTTGATATTTCATCGGATAGTAAGTGTACCCATCTCTAGCTAGCCGTTGCATGTCTCTACAAAACCAACCAAGAGAAATTGCTTACGAAAGCAACTTCTCTTCACTCTTTAGTCTGCCCCTCGACTGTTGTGACTGCTTGGATAGGAGTGAAAAGACTTATCACAACCGCACCAGCCTTTCAAGTCTCAATCGTGTCATGGTGGTCAAAATCTCTTAAATTTTCACTCCTGTCCAGCTTTCATCTTGCATTCACTTTGCTCTCGGTAACCACGCAAGGTTTCTTTGAGAGGAGCAAGCATGGCCTAATGAAAAACAGATGAGCCATAGGTGTTGAAAATTCTACTGCACACGCAAGAAAGTCCTGCCGCCGTATATTTGAACATGTCGGATAGTATACGTGTCATACGCATTTGTGCAAATGTACTCCTAGACCCAGGTCATACATTATGAAAAACATTACTTTATATTAGGAATTAAATTAAAACGCAAGCAGAACATAGTACACATGACCATGCCCCTACAACTAGTAATAATAATATTGGATGAAATGACGAGTGAGTGTAGTCGACCACAAACTATGAAATTTTACTATGCACGTCAGAAAGTCCGCCGGCCACACAATTGATATCGTCGTGCCGAGTCTCACACTGTCTCATCGGCGTAAATGGAGGAGACGTGCTCTATTTTTGCAGCCACCGGTGTAATACGGTTGCAATTCCCAATGGAGCGTGACGGCACCCACCACTAGGAAAAATAAATCTTCACAGAGTATCTTGCCTTAGAATCCCTAGCGTCCCTATGTACTATACAAAAATATTTACGGAGTATCTTTCCTTAGAAGCCTCAGCATCCCTGTGTATACATAAAGCTTGGCCTCGCTCCAATTCTAATTGTTTACCATCCCACCTTCCATTGCCACAAAGCCCTCACCTCGCCTCCCACCTCCGCCACCCCGTTGGTTGCCATGAAGGTCGTCGGTGGCTCGGCACTAGTCCCTGCTTCCTCTAGTAGTTTGGTGGAGGCAGGGCCGATGGCGTACCCCGAGTTGGTGTCGGCGGTGGTGGTGGCGACATCCAGTCCCGGGAGATCATCATTCCCATCATGCTCCCGCACGTCGTCTCCTAGGCTGCTGCTCTCCCCGTCGCCCTTGTCGACGACACTGACGCCAATGGCACCGGTGGTTCGCTCACCACCGTCGGCCCCGTTGTAGTCCCACTAGCCATCGCTGGATCCACTCCTGGCGGGGATGGGTCACCTGCACCGTCGCGGTCCCCCTCGCCACCGCCGAGGCCGATGGCTCTTTGGGCTACGTCACGATAGACTCATAGGATGATCGTCTACATGGCTACCAAACGCCATTTACCCAGGGACCAAATATGTTCATGCATGTCAGCCCGTATGGCAGCCTGGTGTGCCCCGTCTGCCCCAACCGTATGACCCGTGGTTGGATGGACGCCAACGCCAGGGCGCATGTGCTAGCGATGGCACACGCCCCCTAGACGGCACCTACACCAACAACAAGAACATTGCCCGCCATCGTGCCCTAATGAGGAACCAGGGCTAGATGGCCTGAAGGGATCATCCAGCCATGCTGGTTTGCCGTGGCGGAGAGGTTTGCTGGCTTCAACCTCGGCAGGTTTACCTTGCAGGCGTTGGATTTTGTTCGTGCCTGTTGGTGCCCTTGTTGCCTGACTTGAGTAGAGGTGTGGGATGGCACTCCTCATTAGTAGTATCAAGTCGTGTCAACATATGTAGTTAGGGCTAGTATGCTGCCAGATGCCGTCAGAATTAGTATGAAGTCATATTAATCATAGATCGAAATCAAGATATCAGTATGGAATTGGAGGTATCGCATCTTATTGCGGTGTAGAGATGGCGGAGGCGGCGACGATGGCAGTTGTGCAAGCCGTCAGTGGCGGCGGCCGTGGCGGTGGCCGCCGCGGCGATGGTGGCCGTGGCCGTGGCGATGGCGGCACTGGCCGCGGGCATGGCGGCCGTGGTGGCGGCGGCGGCCACGACGAACTGGATCGGAGGCCGGGGATTTTGCGCATTAGCATCATGGATCCGTGGGGTATCGCATCTTCTTGCCGTGGCCATGGCGATGGCGGCACTGGCCGCGGGCACGGCGGCCGTGGTGGCGGCGGCGGTGGCGGCCACGACGAACTGGATCGGAGGCCGCAACGACGGATCACGGTGGTGGATTTTCCGCATCAGCATCATGGATCCATGGGGTGGCCGGAGGCATCTGGGCGTGCGCGATACATGGCCTTGGCTTTGACACAGGATAGGAGTAATCATTGGGGGCTAATAATGACGATGCTGGCCGGATGGAGGAAGACTTGGCAAAAAATAAATAAATACTAGTAGTAGTACGCAGTGCACCTTTGTGGTCGCCTGTTTCTCTCCGTCAGTTGGCTTTGATTGTTTGGTAGATCAGTAGATGATGGAAAGGACTCCATGTATGTATATATATATATATACTTGATGTCCAATGCAATATGGCGGGAGTCAAAAAAAATTCACGGATTAATTGGAGGGAAAGGTGAATGGATATTTGGAGGGAACAATTTTTCACCAATTATAATTATTAAGAGGAAAAGAGTGCGCTCGGTTTGAAAAAAACGATAAACAAGGATATTCAATATGGGTGTGTTCGGTTAGCCAATTAAGTCTGGTTAGCTCAAGCCTGGCTTCAACAATACAAGATGAACTTGTTTGGTTGCATGACCTAGCTTAGTCTGTATAAGAAATGTTACGTTTTTGTTGGTTGCTTTATCTTGTAGCGGGAGGTGAGGCGAGCGGATAAAAGGGCTAGCTCGGGCCTAGCTTCACGAAAACGGCCGCCCACCTCGTTCCTGGCTGGCCTGACTAACAGGTGGTCGGTGGCTTCAAGAAGCCTGTCTAATGAGCCCAACAGGGCGACCAAACATGTCAAAAATTGTTAACTAGAGCTTACATATATAAGAGTTGGGGACCAAACCAAACAAGTTGAATTGAGACTCATCTGTTTAGGTTCTTATGGTGGAACCTGGCCAGCCGTGTTAGTCACGATGTAGTTGCTCCTATTTTTCTGAATTTATTCCAGTGTGGTGATTAATTTGGACGAGTGTGCGTGTATGCGTATATAACAAATATCATTAAACAAGTTAGGATTAAAGTATGAGTATATAACAAATAAAGTGTTAAACTAATAATTAAATATATAAAAATCATAAACAAATGATTATTTAGATCATAGATTAAATATTTATAAAAATAATATAGAATATCATAGTTTTCTACTCATAATATCATGCCAAATATCAACATTCGAACCATATTAGTCTTGTTTTGGCAAACATTTTGTTTGCAAATAACTAACTCATATTTCGATGACTAATAAAGCAAATTATGGTGCTTTATTAATTATTAAATCTTTGTAAAATACAAAATCAAGTCCTTAACAAGTAACCAGGCTGCCTGCCATATTCATCGGCATTAATGTTCACCACAAAAATAGAAAGAAAAAGAAAATAGAGCGAAAACCTCCTACATTTTTGGACCCAGATCAGGTAGCCCACGAATCTGAACTCAATACTCAATGGCTACCGCTTAAACCCTAAACAGCCCCCAAACTGCTATGGCCGCCGCCCGTTGATCCATTTGCTTCTTGTCATCAATCCACTGGTGCAGAGCTGAGATGCTGATGTCCAACACCTCTGCCGTCAGGTAATACTTTTGATCAAAATACAAGTTGTCCGCACTATCATTCCTGTTTCCATCTGAAGCCTCTCCCCTTTCAAGACCTCACACGTGTTTGTTCTTGAAGCAGCCAGATGCAGGAATACAAGTTCACCACCACGAGGTGGCAGAGGAAGAGCATGGTAACCACAAACAATCTGTAGAGGTTCATTATTGTGTGCCTAAAAAACCATCATGTCTTTGATCAGTAAGAATCAGAGCCATCTGATGGTATTTGTGAAGCATGAATATGTCAGGCAAACCTTAGCCCATCCTATAACTTTTTCATCATCAACAATCACTTCATGCTTCACATTTACTTCATATTCTTCATCTGATGCGGCACCTTTGACTGAACTGTCATACAAGATGTGTCACAGTTCACAATGATATGTATTCCAACATGATCAGTAACAATTTCGGAGAAAGAAAAGATTCAACTACTTCACAATACCAGGAAATCATTATTCAAAGGTTCACCTTTCTAAAGATAAACACTCCACGCTTTGTGCGCGCTTTAATCTTCTAGAGGCAGGAGAATGCATGGACAGAAGATCTGGGGAAGTACTCCCATTGTCATATATGTAACTTGCTCTCCCAAAGCTATCACAACGTGGTTCCAAGTTCCCTGATATACAGTCTTCATAATGCTGGAAACTATGCCTTGCCTCCTTCTCAACTTCTCTTACATAACTAGAATCTGAAATCTCACTAGCAAATATACTCTGGGAAGAATTAGGCTCCCAGCTCCTGAACAAAAATGAAGACATGTCCCTTTCTGATGGAACACTTGATGAAGAAATGAGACCTGATATACTGTTGACAGGTACAGCATATTCTGTCCAGTAAATGTATGGAATCCCATTTGAGGAATCAAAATCACCGTCTACTCCATATTGTTCTTTCACAGGAGAGGAACTGGCTCAGGCAGAGCAATTTCACTTGCAAACTGCGTTATCCTGTCAAGCCTCTCCTGTGCAATAATGCTGTTCATAGAATAGACACACCACCATATCCTTAGAACTGAATTGATGAAATCTTGGATCAAAATATATAAATATATGTTAGATCTGAAAACGAACCTGTTTAGCATCTCATAGTGTAGCTCAAAAAAAGGTACCTTTGTAAGTAGACAGTAACAACGTGGTGCAGAAACCAAGAAACGACTTGGCTTATAGGAATTAGGGTTTAAGGGTGAAATTGCACCTAGTATACCAGGTGCCTTTTGAACTATTTCCTGAACATGCAAACAAACACCATATAATGGCGCATTGTCTGATACCTGGTTCATAAACAACAATATTAAAAACATCAAACAAGAGATGTAATAAGACTCACAAACCTGTAGGTAGGAAAATGCAATATCAAAATAATCTAGATACTAACATCCAGGAATTATAAAATGGAAGATTCTTCTTAATGCAATGATACCGCGTATTCAAGAAAAAAATGGAAGATTCTTCTTAATGCAATAACTTGACAAACTGTAGTTTTGTAAACAATTCATTCCTCAATGACAGGATGGTTGTGGACAAAAGTTGGATGGACATATCCAATAGGAGGCTTCCCCGATACGAAGAAGGAGCTAAAAAATTTATTGAGTTTGCTTTTTCTGGCTGCAGTGCGGACAAGCTCCTTCGATGACCTTGTAGAATCTGCAAAAACAATTACTTTGCTGATCAGATATCTATAATGGAGCATCTCAAGTTATATGGTTAATGGATGGAGATTTAACACAAGGGACAGAGACGCCTATTTCAAGCACAAAACAGTGGAGTATTTGTCAAGGGCGATGAAGGAACTGGAAACAAAGATTACTTTGGTGTCTTGACAGATATTGTGGAGCTTTTATATGGGACTCATAAGGTTATTCTTTTTAAATGTGAATGGTGGGATGTACATACAACAAGGGGAGTTAAAGAAGATAAGTATGGGTTCATAATGATAAATACTACTCGCAGGCTGTCAACAGATGAGCCATACGTTTTGGCTTCGCAAGCAGAGCAAGTATATTATGTGAATGATACTCAAGATCCAAAATGGTATGTCGCGGTAAAGACTAAACCTCGTGATTATTTTGACACTCCTCCCACTGATAAAGAAGATGCCACTACTAAATCAAGTAAATCCAGTCCTGAAGCTTGCCAAGAAAATGAAGTAATAACTGTGCCGAATCCAAATACAATAGAAGATGATGACACAAGTATATTGGACACACCTCAAGTTGAAGCGGAAGCTGAAGGTATGCCTGTGGCTGTGGAAGGTAATCCGATACTCCATTACGAGGGTCACGTTCAGGATGAAGATGAGCAACAAGAATCTGAAAGTGATGACAGCGAAGGTGGTGAGTACATGGATTCAGATGACGAAGACAGTGAATCGGAAGAAGAAATAGATAACGACTAGCAAATAACTGATAATCAAGCTGAAATTTCTAAAGGGAATATATATATGAGATGTAGCTTCATCTCCTTGGTCACTTGCTTTACAAACACTACACAGTAGTGTCAAACAAATAAGCATTTAGGATATCATGGTCACTCTGGTATTTTCAGCTATGTTTTATTTCCTAATACTTATCAGTTTTCCAAGCCCTGGTAATATGATATATATTCATTATAAACAAGCTATTCATCCACAAATTGTCAATTCACATATTACTATGGCCATCCGGATTTGCGCTTGCTTTTGTTCGTTCTCACTAATTTTACTTCCGTTCTAGATCCCTACAAGACAAACTTGTGTCTTTTTGTTTCCACAACCAAATTAACTGGTACATAAAGTCACTAAAACCTAAGATAATAGAGGTCTAATTTCTACTTCAATTACAGAATTACAACATAATATACTAGTATTATGTAACTAAACATAACTAAGGCATTTCCCGTATGCAATGACCAAGGTTCAAGTGCCCAATCAATGCCACTGAAACATCACTAAGGCATTTGGCAATTAAGTGTCTAGCCTACATTCAAACTCCAGAGAATCGAATAGGCAAATATGGTGAATTGATCAAATAATCTAAACTGGAGAGCAACAGTGCTTACTATCCAATCCTATGACCTCGGATGAGCCGCCATGTTAGGCCCCTAGCCACACGAGCCGCTACCTGCACAGGCGGCCCTGAAGCTCCAGTGCTCCACTACGGACACGCCCGAGCTACGACCGCCCGCCAAACGTGGCCGCCCACCACACACCTGAGCGGGCTGCCCGCATCCCTGCCCGTGTTGACGCCCGCAAGATGACCGTACCCGGCTCACAGTACAGCACGAGCAAGCGGCTCGGCGTCTTCCTCCTCGTGCGCAGATGGCCGCGGCCAGGGACTCAGCGAATCCGACCTTTTGCGATCTTGTCGAGATTGGCGGCGGCGACCGTGGGCGAGCTCGTCGAGTGCGAGGCGAGATTCGGTGGATCCAGGTGGGAGCGGGGATGGCCGGAGACCATGGGCGATCTCATCGGCGCGGAGCAGAAGCATCGAGCTGGGGGCGGCCGGAGACACTCGTCGAGATAGGCGGCCACGGCCGTGGGAGAGCTTGCTAAGCGCTGCACGTGCGAGCTTCGATTCAGCCATGGGCAAGGGCATCGACGGCCGGTGACTATGGGCGAGCTCGTCGGCGCTTGGCGGAGCTCTAAGCTGGGGGCGGCCGGAGATGCTCCGTCCAGTAATTGCAGCTGCAGAAAATGGAAGAAGATATTGTTTCAAAAAAAAAGAAGATAAGGTGGAGTTTGACTGACAAGTGGGACCCATGATAATACAATATTTGCCACTAATTATTTATCATATGGAACACATGTTTTTATCACTAATATAAATATTATATAACAAGAAAATTTATTTTCGCACAATTAACTTGGTAACAAGTGACAAAAGAATATTTTGCCACAAAAATTTCTCAGTCATCAGCTACCATGTGGCGAAGCAAAATTTTGTCATAGATTAACGTACTAATAGTGGGGGGAAATTGTTTAGTCACAATTAAGATGGTAAATAGTGGCAAAATACAATTTTTCCACAACATTTTCTCACTGACCTTGAACCGTGTGGTGATATAATATTTTGTCACCGGTAGATGGCAAAACTGTGAGGAAATAAATATTTAGTCACAATTAACCTATTTATTAGTGACAAATTAATGTTTCATCACTAAATTCGCCACTGAAGGTGCATCCTGTGGCGATATAGTAGTTTGACACTAATAATCGACGCAATAGTGATGAAAATTAGTTTGGTCACTAATAACATGGGAATCAGTGACAAATTAAGATTTCGCCACCACATTTTATCACTGATGCTCGGTCTTCCTGTAGTGGCTGTAGCTTTCATCTGGAGTATTCCTAGGTATCTATTTTCACAGGGAACGTGAAGTGCACTAAAAAGGATAAAGGTCATCCAAGGATAAAGTGTTTTTGTGGGAAGAGAGGGGTTTTCTAAGTTTTTCTCAAGATCACTACATAACCAAGGTTCAGGCTTACTATACCCACTTACTTTGGAGCAACTGTACCTTTCTGACCCTTGAGGGGGGTGACAACGTGGTTGGGGGAAGGCTGCCAAAAAGCTCTATGGAAACACCAATTTGAATGTGGTGGATTACAAAGGCCTGGTCAGAGCTATCACCTCTGGGGCTACCACAACTATCCGTGGGATTGGGCGCAAACTCAGGTAAGCACTAGCCTAGACACCACGTCTACGCTAACGATTACTACTCTAGCCCAAAATCTTAGACTAGAACACTCAGTCGAGCGGAGTTCTTGTAAGTGAAGCAAAGTAATGACTAAACTTAGTTAAGTAGAAAACTTGGAAATACCAAGGGAAAACCTAGATATTACTCGAGTCGAGTTGACTCCGTAGAGGTACAAAATTGAGGAGGATCCGACAGACCCGGCTCCTCCTCCGCTCTATTTCTCTCCTCTCTTCCTATTTTCTCTATTACAACTAGGTGTGAAACACATAGAGGGACACTACTACAATGCATGGATGAAGAATGAAGCTCAAGTAGGTGTGTTGTAGAGGGGGTGCCCCTCTATTTATACAAGGAGCAAGGGCGGTGCTATGGCTATTCTTGGCGCGAAGTCCCTATCTCCACCACCTCTGCATGCTCCCATGCCACCGCCGATCGAAGGGGTCGCCGAGAGGCGCCGATGGGGGGTTGGGCGACCTTAGGGGTTGGCCGCCCCCTGACCAAGCCCCCTTGCCACCGCCTTCATGTGGTGGGCTGTGGGTGGACATGGTTCACTCCTTGGTGGGTTTTTCTTCCGAATGAGTTGAGTTGATGGGCGTCTTTATTGTTCATTTGCGCAAATCAGCGTCGAAAAGCGTCGTTCGGTGAAATTTTTCATACATTTGTGTTTATGTCCTACAAAACAAATGAGAGCACTAAAACTCATGGAACTTGTTAGATAAAATAATATTTTGTTATGATGTAGCCTGAAATGTTGTCATTTTAATGCACTTTGGTGGGCAAAATATTGAGTTAAGGACCGCCAACAAGCTCCCCCACACTTAGATCTTTGCTCGTACCGAGCAAAGGTTAGGATAAAGTAAGCATGAATATGGTTGTTCAAGATATGAGACTAGCATAACAATTATTCCAAAAATATACCTCGTACTTGTGGGATATGTGGAGTGTCTATCATATCTCCTTGAGTGGTTGAGAAATGGACCAGCTCTGAAACAAGGTCATCTCTTCCCATTTTCACATCTTAGTCACTTGGAGTTTTTGTAACCTTTTGAAATAAAACATAGTTCACATGTACTCCTCGAATGGTACTCTCAAATCGCTCAATGGTGTTTGGTTCCTCACCAAGGCATATCATAGCAATGCCTTTTTTTTCTTCCTACTTCTAAAAAGCTTATATGGTGCTTGGGTAGGAAAAAGTATGAAGGCATACTTGCATTGTGTATTTTGCTAAGTCAAACAATGGATCCGAGGAGAAAGATGTCATACAATCAAATCAAGATGTGCATGCATGCGGGACATTAGGTGGACATATAGTGTGGCTAACCTAATTTTACTATGCTCTTTAAAACATATCTCTCTCTTTATTAGGACTTAGAAATTTTCTGTGAGAACATGGGCTATCACTATTTCATCTTTCTTTTCTTCTTTTCATCTTTTTTTTCTTTTTCTTTTTTTTTTGTTTTTGATGATAGCATCATGCCTCTTTTTGCAACAAAACTTTTAAGAGAGATATCAACAAGGATTTAGAGCATTTATTTTGATGGAACCTAACAAACATATTTTTGTTCACTCCCAGTGTAGGAGTAGAATATTTTTGGATGGATCTGAGTGAAAGGCATGTTTTTGTGCCTACTCCCAGTGTAGTAGTGCTTATATTTAGTGGCGTGTATGTGATCTTGATTTTAAAAGTATGATAACTTTCTCAACACTGGTCAATAAAGTTTGACAAAACTCAACATAAAAACAAGTAGCATATGTAGAAGGTTTTGTTCACGATATTTGGCCTTGGTAGGAATTTTTCTTACCATTGAAGAGTGTGAAACTATGGATTTTGACATTTTATCAAAATGAAAATTCTCCAAGTACTTTGAATAGAAAAGGTTGGATTTCCATGTCCAAGCCATATCTCACTTCACAACAACTTAGTCAATATGCGTTTCCTATATGATGTTTTTCCCACAAGCACTAAGTGTATGTAAGGAATAAAGATTATGCAGTCCAATCTCAATGAGCTATAATCATGTTCACTTTCAAATTTGACTCTAAGTATGAAACTTGGTTCTTTTTTATTTTCATGTTTAAACGAGTGTAGAACTAGGAGTAAGCATATGAACAAGTGGGAAGGAATCAAAACAAGTTGTGTGCAGGTTCCTCCACAAGTTTATGATGTGGTTTGGTGCTTTTGTTTCAAATTTTGAGTTTGATTATCAAGTATGGCCTTTTTAAACATAAACAAACTTATAGTTGCAAGACATGGGTGAGAAGACGGAGTGTGAACCAGTGTGTCCGAGAGATGGCAAAGTAGGGTCAGGTCCCCCACACTTGGATTTTTATGTCATTTGACACCAAGTGTGAATGTTGGAGTATCTCCTTAAGGTGTATTGCAGCACCCATGTTCCTAAACAACATTCATCCTTTGTTCCTGTAATTGTTAGTGACAAAGAATACCCGAAGGGAACTTGTCTAGCACCCAGTTTTTTTATTGTGGGAGAAAGGGAGGTCATAGCATTATTCTTAAAAGACAAGACTTAGCTAAGTTTATTATGCAAAACAAATATATATTTATTTTATATATTTTTATTTTATTTATTTATTTATTATTGAAAAGTTCTAGTAACTGAAAAGAAACAAAGAAGCATGTTTTTTTAATTATCATTATATAATATTTTTTTCTAAATGACTTTAGCATAGTGAGCAAGGCACTAAGGTGAAACAGAGTAGAGACAA